AATATAATTGACAGGTTAAACAAAAATAATAACAAGAAGTATGGGATTTATAATATGTGAGTGTATAAAATGTTATAAGAAAAACAGCATAAAGGTCAGAAAGAGAGAAACGCAAGTATACTAACGTAAAGTTCATAAACTATATGTAAAGTGGCATAATATCTCTTGAGAGAGACACTGATAAGCTAAAAGTATACTATAAGCCCTCAAGCAGCCACTAAAATAGCAAAATGAAGAATTCCAGCTTAAAAGGCATTAAGGAAGGTAAAAGGAAATCGTAAAAATTTTCTATTAAGCCAAAAGAACACAGAAAAAGAGGGAAAAGCACACATGGATTGAATAGAAAACAAATTCAAAGAGAATGGATTTAAACATAACCATGTCAATAATCACATTAAAAGTAAGTAGTTCAAAAGTTAAGCCCAAACTATAGACCACTTAAAAGAAATATATCTGAGATTGACGTCAGCAAGATGGTAGAATAGGAAGACGTAGACTCTCCTTCCTTTCATGGACACACCAATTCAACAGCAACACCTGGATAATTCCCTTAGTGAGAAATGAAGAAACTAAAAGACTCCTGTACCCTGGGTGAGTGCAAAACCAGACACAACAGAAAATGTAGGAGAGATGGGTTTGTGGTTTAGTGATAAAGTGCTTGCCTCACATGCATGAGGCCCTGAGTTTAATCCCCAGCATTTCAGAAAAACAACAACAACAAAGCTAAAATTATATAATGGGGGAAAGGACAGTCTCATCATCAAATGGTGCTGGGAATGGGACTGCACCATTTTGTATGTGGGACATCTACATGCAAAATAATGAAATAGAACCACTACACTCAATGCAAAAATCAACTTACAGTGGATCACAGACTTAAACATAGACCTGAAAATAAAACTTCTGGTAGAAAATATAGGGGAAAATCTTCTTGACTTTGGTCTTAATAATTTTATGGATATGATGCCCAAAATAGGAAACAAAAGCAAAAATAGACAAGTGGGACTATTTCAAATTAAAAATTGTTGCCCTGCAAAGGAAATAATCTCTAGAGTAAAAAGGAAGCTTATGGAATAAGAAAAAATATTTATAAGCCATATATCTGATAAGGGGTTCTATTTATTAATTTATTTATTTATTTAGCACCAGAGATTGAACCCCAGGCACTTAACCAATGAGCCACAAAATTCATCCCTTTTTATTTTTTGAGACAGCATCTCAATAAGTTGTTTGGGGCCTTGCCAAATTGCTGGTGTTGACTTTAAATTTGCAATCCTCCTGCCTCAGTCTTCCAAGCCCCTGGGATTACAGGCATGTGCCACTGTGCCTGACTAAGGGTTAATTTTTACATGTGTAAGAAACTGTTACAACTCAATATAAAAATAAATAAATAAATAGATAAAATAACCCAATTTAAAAATCGGCTAACAACTCGAATAGACATTTTTCCATTGAAGATATACAAATTGCCAAGATATATAAAAAGATGCTCAAGGTTATCAATCATCAGGGAAATGCAAAACAAAACCACAAAATAAAAGGCAATACATTTTGGCAAGGATGTGGAAAAACTGGGACCACTGTACACTGAGGGTAGGAACGCAAAATATGTAGCCACCGTGGAAGATAGGATGGAGTTTACTCAAAATATTTAAAATAGAACAACCAATAATCCAGCAATTCTTCTTCTGGCTACTTATTCAAAAGTAGAGAGATGGACTTTTAAAATGCTAGATGAATGAATTTTTAAAATTTAGTTTATACATACAATAGAATATTATTCACCGTAATAAAGAAGAATTTTCTGCAATATTCAGCTACATGACTAAACACAGGGGATGGTATGCTAGGTAAAATGAGCCAATCACTGAAGGGCAAATACTATATAATTTCACTAAAATTAACTATCTAAAATAGTCCAAACCATTACAGAATCTAACATTGATTTCTAGGGATTGTGGGAGGGCACATTGGGGAGTTTCTAATCAATAGATATAATGCTTCAGTTAGGCAGGATGAACAAGTGGTAGAGATCTGATGTACAAAACCATGCCTACAGATAGCAATACTGTATTTATTGTACACTTAAAATCTGTTAAGAGAGCAAATCTCTTGTTAAGTATCCTTACCACAATACAATAAAAAAAATAAAGAAACACCCTTGAAATATAAATAAGTAAACATGAAAGTTTGGAAAACATGTTAATAGATAAGAAGAGCAAATATAAGAATCAATTCAATCTCATTCAAAATTCCAGCAGACTTTTTCTATGGAAACTGATAAGATGATACTAAACTTCATGCAGAAATACAAGAGCCTAGCATTGCCAAAACAACTTGTAAAAAAAGAATAAAGTTGTAGAGCCAACTCTACCTGATTCTAAGAACTATTATAAAGTGGCAGTAATCAAGCTGGGCATGGTGGCGCGTGCCTGTAATCCCAGAGGCTCAGGATGCCAAGACAGGAGGATCAAAAGTTCAAAGCCAGCAAGGTACTTAGCAACTCAGTGAGACCCTGTCTCTAAATAAAATACAAAATAGGATAGGGATATGGCTCAGTTGTTGATTGCCCCTGAGTTCTATCTCTAGTACCCGTCCCTCCCACCAAAAAAGTGGCAGTAATCAAACTGTAGTTTTAGCATAAAGATAAATAAATAGATCAAGAGAAAAAAACGAAGAGTATAGAAATGGGCCCACACTTATACTGAAAAATGATATTTGACAAAGTTAAAAGCACTTCAAGGGAGAAACAACATATGGTGCTGAAATTATTTGACAACTATATGAAAACATAAGAACTTCAATTCATATCATGCACTATGTACAAAAATTAACTAAAATGGACCATAACTAAGTACAAAACCTAAAACTTAAATAAAACTTATAGAAGAAAACACACCAGAGAACACCTTTGTGACCTTGAGTAAGGCAATGATTCTTAGATGTAGCATCAAAAGCATGATCCATAAAAGAACAAATTGAGATCTTCTGATCTTTGAAAACACCATTAAGAAAATGAAATTGAAAGCCTGTGACAGAGAAGAGTAAATATTTAGAAAGCATATACCTAATAAATAATTTGGATTCAAGGAATATCAAAAACTCTAAAAACTCAAGAAAATCAGCAACCCAAAATATTTCAATTCACAAAAGATTTGAAATAAACTTCAACAAAGAAAATATACAAGTGAAAAATAAGCACATAAAAAAAGGCTCAACATCATTAATCAGTAAGGAAAGTCTACATAAAACCACAATGAGATACAATTGCACAGCTTTATAACAGCTAAAATTTTAAATTTTAAAATAGTGACAATACTGAGTGTTGGAGAATATGGAGAAACTAGAACTTTCCTACACTGTTGGTGGGAATGTATAATCATTTTTAAAAAGCAGTTTGGGAGTTTCTAAAAAAGGTAAAATACACTTGCCATGTAACTGAGCTATTCCACACCTAGGTATTTGCTCAAAAGTAACAAACAAATGCATGATCTTATAAAGACTTGTATACAAATGTTCATAACGGTTGTATTTATAATCGCCCAAGCTGAAAACAACCTGTGTATTTATCAACAGGTGAATGAATAGAAAATCTATAGTATATACAATGAACACATCGAGCAATAAAAAGAAATCAACTATTGATACATACAGCATACACAAATCTCAAGATTAATACGTTGAGTGAAATAAGCTACATAAAAGAGTACATAGTTTATGATTCAATTTACATGATATTCTAGAATAATAAAATTAATCTGTAACTTCATAAAGCAGATCATGGATTGTCTGCATAGAGGTGAGAGATAAGGAGGGATGTATTACAAAAGGGTCTGAGAAGATTTAGGGGAGAGAAATATGTTTATTATCTTGATTGTGGTGACAGTTTCATGAGAATCTATACATGCCAAAACTTCTCAAATTAAGTATTTGCAATTTATCATATGTTAGTTTTACCTCAATTAAACTGTTTATAATACTTTGCTTATATAGTGGGATTCAGTTCTATACCTCAATATTTTAAAAAACATAATGGTTTTGGTGATTTGTGTAATATAATAAATGCCCAACAAATGATAACTTTACTCTTATTGAAGATTAAACTGAAAGAATGTCAGGAAATGTGGTTGTTTGTTTTCAATACTGGATATTGAACACAGAAGGCCTCTAGCATTGAGTTACATCCCCAGTTCTTTAAATTTTGTATTTTGGGATAGGATCTCACTAAGTTGTTGATGGTCTCCCACCTCCCACCTGGAATCTCCCCACCTCAGTCTCCCAAGTTTCTGGGTTACAGGTATACACCTACCATGCAGCAGAAATGTGTCTCACATATCTTACTAGTATCGAAGGAGGTTCTAATCTGAGATAATTGAGAACTGGAGCATCTTATAATAAGATATTCCCCATTCCCATTGCCTACCCTGGAACTGGGGATTGAACCCAATAGCAGCTGGGCAAATGCTCTACCACTGAGCTTCATCCTTGGCCAAGAATATGTTTTAAGCTATTAAACTTTAACTAAGATCAGCAAAAGGCCCTCAAAAGGCATTGTGTGTGTGTGTGTGTGTGTTTGTGTGTGTGTATATGCTGAATTATGAAGCACTATAACATCAATGTTTTACTCCGGTAAATCAGAAAAAAATTGTCTGATGAAATAGATCTCATTTTTATTTTTTCTTTTACTAATGGTTGGAGGTAGGAATTAAACTGGATATTTATAATTCTAAGAAAATATATAAGCAAAGCCAAAAATTATTAGCTCAAATTAGAAAGTAAAATAAAGAAAATTTGAAACTCATAGGATTATGATGGAGTATTTTTACTCTCTGAACATTAAAAAAAGAAAAATTTGATGGTAGGCCTGTGCTGTGGTGCATGCTTATAGTCCCAACTATTAGAGATACTGAGGCAGGAGAATCAGTGGACATCAGGAGTTCAAGACCAGACTGTACAACATGGAGGGACCCCATCTTTAAAAAAAAATTTTCATACCTTACCTGAAATAATTCATTCTTAAGCTGCATCTAATCACTGAAAATTCCATATAGAAATTTCAACAGTAGAGCTTTCTTTCAAAGTACAAGATGCAAAGAGAAGTAACCATTTCTCCTTCCTCTTTATATGGTGGGAAAGATAAATTGGCACCTGTCAAAAAGATGAAATATGAATGACTATGGATTCTAATTCTGATTCCTCCACTCTTTTGCTGCTCTTCCTTTACTATAATAGCTTGAATTTTCTTCATGTCTAATAGAGAAGCCTGAATATGCCATAGTTGAATATAAATACTGTACTTAAAGAATTATTTCCTAGAAGAAGAATTAAACTTGTTTGGTATGACACTCAGGATTCAAATTAGGATTGATGGTGGAAGCTATAGAAAAATATTTTACAATAAGGAAAACGTCACTGGAATGTATTGATTTGGTCAGTAATGGGTTTCCCATCATTGTAGGCCCTCAAGGACAGGCTAGATTATAAATGGAAAGTCAAGCTTACATTCTCAACTGGGACTAAGATGTAGTGCTGTATGTAGATGAAAATTCAAAACATTAATAAGAATTTGTAACAATAAGAGGACCTAAAAATAATTCTGGAGGCTTTAAAAACTTAACCAAACTATAAATGTATCTATAGAATATCATCTGTCAATATCAGCGTAAATGAGTGTCTGTCAGCACAGGACCTGGGTACTTTGGCAATGTTTAGTTAGGATACATGACATGATATGCATGAGGTGCAGTGGCACACACCTGTGATCTCATAATTTGGGAGGCTGAGGCAGGATTGCAAGTTTGAAGCTAGCCTCAGCAATTCAGCAAGACCTTGTTTCAGAATAGTTTTAAAATGGACTGGGGATGAAGATAAAGTGCCCCTGGGTTCAATTCCCAGTACCACATAAAAAATGTAAAATATACAAGGTCAAGATTAATTTTTTTTCTTTCTTTTTTCTTTTTGGTGGCACTGGGGATGGAACCCCGGAACTTGTGCATGATAGGCAAACACTACCATTGAGCTACACCCCCAGCTCCAAGATTCTTTGTATAAGATGATGCTATTTGTTCTACCAATTTACCTGAGTTTATACTATCTTAAAAGCAGTTGATAGATAAATGGTAGATAAATCAATAAATATTTTAAGCTATTGATTTTAAAATGCTTAAAAATATAACTTTGGCTACCTTGCTAAATACAGATTTTATCCCTTACCACCACATTCCATCCCCTGGCATTTTTCATTATATATATGCAATATGTATTTATTACATATATTATATTATGCATAAATATTAACATATATATTTATGTGTGTGTGTGTGTGTGTGTAGTTCAAGCATTTGGTTTTTATCAGTACAAGTGATTTTTATTGTAGACAGTTAGAAAACCATACTTCAAGAAACACAAAGAGAAGCATGGATAGGCCAACTTCCATTCTTTCTAGTCACGAGTTTATGAGAATGCTACAGAACTTTATCTTCGGAAGAATTTCTTCTTAAAAACTAAAACAAAACAAAAAACAAAACACTGACACATCCTGTTTTCTCTTTTATCTCAGGGCCAAAACCCAAGATGAAATTTATGGTACTTGTCACTGTTGGGATAACTTTGCTGCTAGGAGTCCAAGCCATGCCTTCAAATCGCTTGTCTTGCTACAGAAAGATACTAAAAGATCGCAACTGTCACAACCTTCCAGAAGGAGTGGCTGACCTGACACAGATGGATGTAAATGTCCACGACCATTTCTGGGATAGGAATGGATGTGAGATGATCTGTTACTGCAATTTCAGTGAATTGCTCTGTTGCCCAAGGTAAGGAATGAAATTATAAAATGTATTGCTGTGAAATGTATGCAGAACAAATCTTTTAAAAAGACATTTCCTTTAAAATAGTTTTGCTGAAAGTAATTACCCATTTAAGTAAAATCCTTTTAAAATCCCAGCTGTCTTCTATAATCATCACCATTATGTAAAGAACTGAATATTTTTGTTTAAGAAACAGAATTTGACAGAATTTAATAAAACTAAGCAAAAACCAGAAAATTAATAACACTTTAATCGATTAAATTCTGAATTCCCTATTTAGTTTCTACTATAAAAAAATCTACTGGTAGCAGAAATGAACATCAAGGCTGTCATCTTAAACCAATTTGAAAGCCAGTAAAAGGTTTTAGATAAAAGATGCTAGTATACAGTACCAATTACTCAACTGGATAGAAAAGATGAGTAATGGTCAAAGGAAACCATTTCCATGTATGAATTAACCAGGAATGAACTAAATATAAGTTCAAAAATTCTACTTTTTTGGAAAAAAGGTGTATTTTAAGTATAAACTAGTGGTAGATAAATCAATAAATATTTTAAGCTCTTGATTTTAAAATCATCTTCCTCTAATTATTAAGTCTTTCAAATATTATGATCTTTAGTATACTGAAATTAACTTTTTTTCAAATTACTTTCAACATGTGCTGTTTATATTTCCATTCTTTTAACAAAGCCTAAGGTACAAAGGGCAGACATTACTATTTTACCAAAGAAAGATACAGAGACATGAAAGGACAAGCACTATCTCACATAATTAACTAATATCAGACCTGAGACTATAACTTAGGTATTCAGATTTGTACCAGATTTTTTTTCCCCCCTCTCCCCATCAAGCCAGTTGGTTTTCAGGTAAGGCTCCCCAAACAAGCTTCCTCATCCCCTGTGTTCCAGGGTTTAAAATGCACATATAGCCAGTGTGGTAATTTATGCTTGCAATCCCATTGATTTGGGAGGCTTGATGCAGGAGGGTTGTGAGTTTGAGGCCAGTCTCAGTAATTTAACAAGACCTATCTCAAAATAAAAAGGACTGGGATGTAACTTAGTGGCAAAACATTTTTTTGTTCAATCTCCAGTACTGCCTCCCCTCATATTATGCATACTCATTCCTGAATCCCAATCTACTGACTCCAAAACTCTGGAGGTGCTCAGCAATTAGGTTTTAACAAATCATCCTCATGATTCTGATGTTTGATCAAGTTTGGGAATTAGTGTACTGAATGATTCCCAAAAACTGACTTAATTTTTCTTGTACTGTGTAAATGAAATGCCATCTAATATTAAAATAGAGTGCTCGCTGGAGTTGTGGCTCAGTGGTAGAGCCCTTGCCTCACATGTATTGAGGCACTGGGTTTGATTCTAAGTACCACATATAAATAAATTAATAATAAAGGTCCATCAACAACTAAAAAAATATTTTAAAAAATACAGTGCTTGCTTTTTGTTACTGTATTACTTGAAAAAAATTACTGGAATGAACTTGTATTTATTTATCATATAATTTTGTGATTATTTGTGCTAATGGATATAGAGAGGAATGTGAACATACATAAGTAATTTCTCTTTGATTTTGGGATACTCCTTTCTCAGTAGCAAGATTTACCTTGCTAAGTACATTTCTAATAAGCTATAATAACACATATATACAATTGTACCTTATTCTATACATATTTATACATTGCTTTATGAGATCTTTCCAATAAAAAGTGTAGATTTTTGACATTTCTCTTTTCCCTATGAAACCTAGAAATTTATTTAATGACTAAGAAAGTTTTAACATTGTTTCTTATCAGCAGATTCAAACTTCACATCCCATCCCCTTATCAGACAAATAAAACTTTATGTATGATTATAAGGTTTTGAAATTATCTATTTGTTCCTTACTTTATAGATAAATGATAGCATGCCATCAGTGGCAAATAGGAGGAAAATAGAAGAATTAATTACCTTTTTTGGTCCTTGTTAGTTCTGTGACATATCCTTCCATTCATCCCTTTGTACTTTATTCACCTGAAAACAATAGTCATATCTGAAATCCCGGGAATCACTATCAATGTTTAATTCATAAGACTAATAGAAATCTTCATTTTCAGCTAAATTTAATTTATATTCTATTTTCTTTCAGAGATATCTTCTTTGGACCAAAGATCTCTTTTGTAATCCCTTGCAACAATCACTGAAAATCTTCATGTATTCTGGAGAACACCATCCCTAATTTCCTATCAGTGTGCTGAATTTCTAGTTTCTATCCAGTGAAATAAAGCATAGAGTCTATAAAGTCTTATTTGCCTAGGTCAAGTGAACCTGTGTTAAGCAAGTAGTAATAAAAGTTAATTCAATTTAATTTTTCTCTGTAGACCTTGTTAATAATGTAGACCTTGTCTCTAGATTTTCCATTTATGAGATGTTCACTATACTCTGTAAAGAATTTTGTCCCCCAGATGGATGTCAGAATCCCTACTCAAACATTGAGGATACTTTTAGTTGTTGACAGTTTTTTGACCATGTTTGTTTGTTTATTTAGGTACCAGGCATTGAACCCAGGGACGCTTAACCATTGAGACACATCCCCAGTCCCTGTTATTTTATTATTTTGATGCAGGGTCTCATTTGCTTAGGGCTTCGCTAAATTGCGGAGGTTGGTTTGAACTTGAGATCTCCTGCTTCAGCCTTCCAAGTTACGAGGATTACAGGCATGCACCACTGTGTCTATGTGTCTAGTTTCATAACTATGAATATTTAATGGAAAAAAAATGTTACAAATTGAACTTATTGGAAGGGAAACTAGTATTCTAGAAAGAAGGAAAATAGGAACTAATAATTAAATGTATATTATATATGCCACTCACTTTAAATACATTTTAATTTTACTATTTAAAAAAAACACTGTGAGATATTTTTCTTAGCTCCATTTTTCAGATACTATCTCAAATTTAAGGGATTAAATCTTAAAATCAAGATATTAACCTTAAAATCAAGGCAAAATATGAAGAATTCCAATTCTGAAGCTCATATACTACACCCTCACGCAGTTGGATCAAAACATAATACATATCCCTGAAGTATGGATTTTTCTTAGAATAACAAAACATACATAAAGAAAGACACAGGTTGAAAATTTCAGAATCATATAAAGTTTAAAAGTTAAAACATGTGACTTTAAATATATTTCCTAATTGTTAGAGGATATGGCTTTGAACTATGCCCCCATATTTTGAGAGGTATTTGTTGACTTATAATGATCATCTGGGGTAACATCAGAAAGCCTTTCATGTTGTAAAATTCTATTACATGCTATGTGCCAGCCACTATTAATATTTTGGGATATCATAATGAATAAGATGGTCTTGTCCTCTTGGAACTTGTGTTCTAACAAAGCTATAAAATCATTATAAACAAGTAATTATTTATAAATGTGAAACCTTTTCTAGAGAAGTATAGGATACTGTACAAAGTATTGTAGGTAGGGGGAACAAAATATTGTGGGGAAAAGTTTAAGAAACACCATGCAGGCAATCGAGGAGATATTTTGTGACTAAAATTACATTATTTCATTGAATTACATTCTTGGAGGTCCTTGATCTGTTTCTGAATATTCCATTCAAAATAGTATCTAGTATCAATTCAGTTTAATAATCATTACTGGGCTGGGCTAAACAATTTTGAGGTATAATTCAGTGTCTCTTAAAATAAATACAGGCCAGAACATATTTTCAATATTATGACCTTCTATGAAATTCATGAAGAGAAACAGAATTGTACAAAGCAATCAAATTACTTGTTTTATCAAGATAGTATATGATTTAATTGGCCTTTCTTCACTGAATTGACTGGCAATAAAAATCAAGATTGACTCAAGAAAAGGTGTCTTAAATCCATTTTCTGGAATAGTGCATAGAACAGGTAAACAAACCCATCAGTAAACTTGTTTCATTTTCTGTTCTTTCTAAGGGGGGAAAAAGTGCTAACAATCCATTATCTCTTATAAATGACATCAGCATGAGGGTACAAGTGAGGCAACAGTAGCTTTTTACTGTGCTCTTTTGCAATCAAAACCTGATGAGAAAAAACTTTAAAAAAAAAATCTTTATTTTTATTTATTTGTTTTATGTGGTGCTGAGGATGGAACTCAGAGCCTCATATGTGCAAGGCAAGCACTCTGCCACTGAGCTACAACCCCAGCCCAAGAAAAAACTTTTTTTTAAGAACTAAATTTTATAGATTACCGATGATTCTTCTTCACTGTATTCTTTCATTTCTGGAAATAACTGGAACATGAAATTCAATAATATTCTTTTAGAAATGAGTACATTATAGAACTATATATACTTCTCTATATTAACAAGTAAGTGTAAAACATAAATGTTCACAGAGTTTACCTCATGTAATTTTTCCGGACTTGGTCAATATGTTTTTAAAGGCAAATATTTCCTCATCAAACTAATGAACAGATATTTTTTCCAATAGATTTTAGTTATAAAATACAATTAAGCTTTTATTAAAAATTTACTATTATGCTAAATACTGTCTTAAAACAACTGAACTAATTAAATACTGTCTTTATCCCTCTTCTATGGACAAAAAATGCCAAGGTTTAAGCTGGGTGTTGTGGTGCACACCTGTAACCCCAGAGGCTCAGACAGCTGAGGCAGGAGGATTATGAGTTCAAATCTAGCCTCAGCAAAGGCAGGGTGCTAAGCAACTCAGTGAGATTCTGTCTCTGATAAATATAAAATAGGGCTGAGGATGTGGCTAAGTGGTTGAGTGCCCCGGAGTTCAATCCCTGGTACCAAAAAAAAAAAAAAAAAAAAAAAAGCCCAAGGTTTAGAGTAATTACATAGCTTAGCTAATGTTACATTATCAATAAGCAGTAAACCAGATTGTAAATATGGCCAATCTTATTCTAGTATCTTACCACATTGTTTAATAGCATCATCTAATTTATTTCCTTTTTAGAAAAGCAAGACTTTTCTGGATAGGAAATACAATTGTACATTTCAAATAGTTCACATGGGCTAAATGCTTTCTGAATAACAATGTCTTTATTTTAGCTTTATATCTGACTTTCTATATCCTTGTTTTTACTATAAGTCCCATGTTGCAAGCACCAGATTGACAGTAATACCAAAGCTCATCTTTTCTTGATAGTATTAATTCCTCTTTTCTCATTATAATCTCTCATAGGGACTCCCTGAAAAAAAATATGTATTACATATGGGATTAGGTACTGATTGTATAGGATTATTAGAGAACTGGAAGCAACATAGAAAAACCAAAACAATGAGCAACAACTGTTGGAGAACAGTAGGAATATTCAAAGATCATTTTGCAACTTTTAACTTCCTTGTAATTATCAATAGACACACATATGTTCTTTCCATAATAAATCACTTTTGAAAAAAAGGAATAAGAATGTTTGCTTTTACCATTGTTCTTCAACATTGTACTGGTAGTCCTAGCTAGAGCAATTTGTCAAGAAAAAGAAATAAAAGGCATTCAAATTGAAAAGGAAGAAGTAAAACTACCTTTATTTGCATATTAACATGATTCTCTCTGTAGAAAATCCCATGGAATTCACAAAAACCAAACCAAAACAAAAAACTCCTAGAACTAATAAATTCAGCATAGTTCAATGGTCAACACACACAAAATCAGTTGTGTTTCTCTATACCATTAAAAAATAATCCAGAAAAGAAATTAAGAAAACAATTCTATGTAAAATAGCATTAACAAGAACAAAATATCCAGGAATAAATTTAACCAAGGAAATGAAAGACTTGTATACTGAAACTATAAAACACTTAAGAAATTAATTAAAGCAGGACTAACTAAATGGAAAACCATCCCATAGATTAGAGTGCTTAAGATTGTTAAGATGGCAATATTAAAGCAGTATACAGATTCAATGCAATCCCATCAAAATTCTAATAACGTTTTCGGTAAAAAATGGGAAAATCCATCTTGAAATCCATATGGAACTGCAAGGGGCCCTGAACAGCTAAAACAACATTGGAAAGAAAAACAAAGAAAGTAGGAATTTCACTTCCTGATTTCAAAACAAGGCTAATAGACATGTAGATCAATGAAATAGTATTGAGAATACAAAAATAAACCCCAACATCTCTAGCCAATGATTTTCAACAAGGGTGCCAACATCATTCAGTCTCTTAAAAAAAAAAAAAAAAGTGTTGGGATAAACTGGCTAACCACATGCAAAAGAATGAAGTTGGACTCCCTCTACCTCATTACCTATATGAAAATTGACAGTACACTGATTCAACAATCTAAAGTTAGCAGCTAAAACTATAGAACTCCTAGAAGAAAACATGGGCATTAATCTTCGTGATGTTGGATTTGGCAGTGGATTCTCAGATTTTATAGCAGAAGTACAGCAACAGAAGAAGTGCTACTTAAATTGGACTACATAAACATTTAATAAAACTTCTGTGCATCAAAGAAAATTATCAAATGTGAAAAAGGAATTTACTGAGTGGAAGAAAATATTTACAAATCATGTATCTGATAAGGGTTTAATAAAGAAGTCCTTTAGAATAAAGAACTCATACAATACATGAAAGAGGCAACCGAATTAAAAAGTGAATAAAGGACTTGAATAAACATTTTTTTCTAGGAAGATATACAAGTGGCAGCAAGTGCATGAAAAGATGTTCATTACTGTTGATCATTAAGGATATATAAAACAAAATTACAATAAGGTCATTCACACCCAGCAGGATAGCTTTAATTAAAAAAAGAAAGAGTAGCTCTCATGGTTTGTGGGAATGTAAAATGGTTTAGCCTCTTGGAAAATTTGGAAGTTCCTTAAAAAGTTCAATATAGAATTATCATGACTCGGTGATTCTACTGAAGGGTACTCAAAAGCAATGAAACCTATATCCACAGAAAAATATGTACAAGAATGATTATAGCAGCATTATTCCTAACAGCCAGGCAGAAACTGAATGTTCATCAATGGATGCATTGGTAAACAAATTACTGATAGATACAATGGCATGTTTTTCATCTATGGTTGAAAGGGACAAGGTACTAATACTTGCTGCAAGTTGGATGAACCCCTGAAAACAGTGCAAAACAAAATAAACTAGACATATTGTAGCTCAGTGGTAGAGTGCTTTCCTAGCATGTGTGAGGCACTGGATTCGATCCTCAGCACCTCATAAAAATAAAGGTATTATGTCCGTCTACAACTAAAAATGTTTAAAATAAAAGAACATATACTGTATGATTCCCTTTATATGATATATCCATAATAGCAAATTTATGGGAACAAAAAGTAGATGGGATGAAGAGAAGAAGAAATGGGGAATGATTATATATGACTATTTTTGGGGGGTGATGAAAAAAGTTTTGAAATTAGAACTAGTGGTTGTACAACATTCTCAATTTACTAAATACCACATCAAACTGAACATTTTTATTAAATGATTGTAAGTTATGAAAATTTCCCTTCAACTTCAAAAATCAATTCATGTGGAAATAATATATAGCTTATTTCTAAAAATAAATGTATTTTAGGCATTACTCTTTAGCCTTCCCTAAAATTATTCTTTTAGTATCAAATAACTGACTTATTTTTTGAGCCCCTCTATAGGGTATGCTTTCTTCTTTTCTCTAGTCCAAGGCAGTAAAATTTAAATCCTTTCCTTGATGCTCTAATAATAAAATCAGTGCGCACCCTTGTAGATAGGAGTACTTATTTATTTACTTCTGATATAGATTAAAAGGTTTAATTAATTTAAAAGTTTTACAACCCAATAGCAAGGAATTAAAATCATTATATAAAACTTAACTCAATCTTGATGAGTTTCTTACAAGTCTCAGTTCATAAGATCCCCCTTTTTTTGTTTTAAATTTCTCTAACAAGGATTTAATTTCCTTGAATAATTACATTCTTATGCAAAGTTTCTGAAAATTAACATTACCAAAGGTTATGTTCATAGAGCTAGTTAAATGTAAACAAATAATTTCAAGTTTTCACACTTTTTTTTTAAATAAGAAAAAGGAAGCCTACTATCAATTTGTTTTAAACTTTTTTTTTTTTGTAGTTATAGATAGACACAACACCTTTATCTTATTTATTCACCTAATAGACCAGTTCTTTAGATATAGTTAGTACTTTAGCTACACCAGTGGTCCTTACCCAGTGGTTAATTTTGTTTCCGTGGGGATGTTTGGTAATGTTTGGTTGTCACACCTTAACAATGCTACTGGTACCTACTGTGTGGACTTCATAGATGCTGCTAATCTTCCTACAATCCACCACTGTCTCCACAACAAACAATTATCAGGTTCAAATGACAACCTTGAAAAACTTGAGCTACATTAGTGATCTTTTCCATTTTCAGCATAAAATTTGCAGCCAATCATAGAACATTTCACTGGAGCTGTTGTTTTTGTTTTTTTCACATCACAAGCTATAAATCTGATTTGCAATTATTAACTAAGAATTTAGCTAAGCAATACAATCCCGGGAAAAGCAGAAGTTAAGATGGCAGAATCTGACAGAATCAAAAGGAAATGCAATACAAATCAAGTTAGAACTACATACAACAAAACTTTAAAGGATTAGTTTGTTAGATATTTAGACCTTTCCACACTTCGGTCATAATTTGCAACACAAATGTCACAGAACATGACTGAAAATTAAGTGGCACTGCAGAAGTATTATCTATTTTCATGCTATATAAATAATTTTCCTTAAGACAAAATTTATTTCTATATTCTTATTTCAACTATCAGCACTGTGTTTGTCTTTATTGGCACATTATGTCTTCTTTGGAAAGAGGTGGGCACATAAATGAAACTATTTTTTTAATACTACCTCAAGTAATAACAACAAAGAAAGAAAATAAAAAGATGTTGCATCCTACTGAAAGTCTATTTTCAACTCTGACAGCACTATAAAATACTTTAAAAAATAATGCTATTTAGGATATCCTTAATTTCAAATCAAACTTCCCCAGTGAAAGCCAATGTAAATTACATTTGCTACTTAAGCTGTTAATTTCATGGAATTTAAAAAAAAGGGTTACATCAATGTAGGCTCTTTACATTAGAATTTCAATTAATATTGATTCCTTAAGTCAGTTTAAAAATCATGTTTCACAAAATAAATACACCGAAGCAACTATAATAGTAATAACCTTTATTTAAAATATTTTTAATCTAGGAAGCTCATTTTACATGAGTTTCCAGCTAATTATTAGAATCAGAAACAAAGGAAATAAAACCAGAGAAAATTCTCTGTAGAAAAAATACACAAAGAACATTTCTACATGTGAAAAAACAGTAAACAGTCTTAACATCTGAACATCCACATATTAGACTTAACGCCATCTCTCCTAGTGAACACCACTATCAACCTTGAGATCTGATTTGTTCTTGTCATTCTTCACTGAGTAGATGAAATATGTTAAGGTGTCTTTTTCATTCACTGGAATAGACCTAAAGTGGCAACCAACTATCTATAAAGAAAAAAAAAATCGAGGAAATTAAATTTTAGATATAACAGGCTTCATAAAATAGGTAAAAGGTACTGTTTCATCAAATGTTCAAAAGTGGTATGTGATGATAAGAGTTATTTCTTTTAAAAATCAAACTATATTTAACAAAACAGCAACAGGACAAAAAAACACACAAAAATAAGATGTTATGAACAAAAGACAGTCTGATTTTAAAGGACCCTTTGACCCTATTTAATTAAATATACATTGATTAGCAGTATATTTCCTTATATTTTAAATTTTACAACTGGGTCTAGATCAGGAAGTAAATATTTCTACTTTTAAACTTTAAATATGCATCAGATAAAAACTGAAGAGTCCACATGTATCACACTAGGAATGGTTTACAACTTAGAAAAAGAATAAAATGAAGTTCTCGAATTTTTTATATTAGCGAAACCATGAAATAGTTTACAAATATCTTTGCTGCTACTTATATTTATTAATTCATTTATTAGAATTATTCTTTATAAAGATTCCTTGAAGTTTTTTTTTTTTAGTATTTATTTTTTAGTTGTAGTGGACCCAATACCTTTATTTTATTAATTATTTTTATGTGGTACTGAGGATGGAACCCAGGGCCTCACATGTGCTAGGTGAGTGCTCTACCGCCGAGCCACAACCCCAGCCTGGTTCCTTGAAGTTTTTTCTGAACACAACTTATGAACAGAAAATGAAAGGAGAAAGGAGAATGTTCATTGAAGACTGTATATTTGCTTCCTTGTCTTTTTGTGGTGCTAATCTAATGTGTGGACTACAATTAGCAATAGTAGAATAGAGCAAATGGGAGGAGGAGGAGGAGGATGATAAGCATACCTGGAATCTAGATTTCTTATTTATTAAAAAAAAAATAGCTCTAGAATAATATAACTGTTTTTATAAGTTTGGATTATCAAAATTTTCAGTTTTAAATTTTGCATTAAAATATGTATGCATTTAAATACACATTGCAGGGCTGGGGATGTGGCTCAAGCGGTAGCGCGCTCGCCTGGCATGCGTGCGGCCTGGGTTCGATCCTCAGCACCACATACAAATAAAGATGTTATGTCCGCCGAAAACTAAAAAATAAATTTTAAAAAAATTCTCTCTCTTAAAAAATAAATAAACAAATAAATAAATACACATTGCATATACATGTTGCAGAACAAAGGTGACTTTACTCAATTTATATCTGATCCACTTCATGGTAGGCAATATCTATGTTATTGCACAATCAAAAATGGACTAGATCTTTAAAATCAAATATAAAGAAAAGAGTTTTATTTTTGTTATGTAGGCAAGAAATAGAAAAGAAATTGTGGCTAAATAGCATCTTGGATTTTAACAGCATTCAAAAAAATTTTGTCAAAGAACTGAAAAAGTTCTATTTATTTTTATCTTAATTAATATGAATATTTTATTTTATTTATTTTTCTGGTACTGGAGATTGAACTCAGGGATGCTGCCATTAAGCCACATCCCCAGCCCTTTTTTATTGTGAGACAAGGTCCACTTCATTAAGTTGTCCAGGCTGGCCTGGAATTTACAATCCTCTTGCCTCAATCTCCCAAGTAGCGGGGATTACAGGAGTGAGCCATCACACCCAGCTAATATGCACATTTTAGAAAATTTTGAAATAACTACTAAATTCAAGCTACAGAACATGAGAAAACTGATTCATGTATTTATGTCTATTCTGTCTAGTAAGTGAAAAAAACTATTTTAAATGTTTAAAGTGTAAATATATAAGTCTACATGTATCTTAAAAATATTCAGATTTTTTGGTTCTGGTTCATATGATCAGTGAACTTTTCAAAACTAATGAGAGTACCAGAAATCCTATATAAAAGCAAACTATAAGTAAAAGCTTGGATAAGTTTTTGCCTCTCTTTATGTGAAGAAAACATAGATGTTAATAGTCAAACAAACAAGGACAAATTCTGAATAGTGAAATCAGCAAGTTATGGAAACATCTCTTAAAGACTCATTTGTAGACTCTTCCATCAGAAACTTCAAAAAATAAATTCTAAAAAAAAATAATGGCATATTTGTTTATTATGCCTCAATTAGGTGTTCAATAAACATTAACTGATTAAATGGAATTTTAAAACTAATATTTCTAGAATGAGGAAAAAAATTTTTCATTCGATATTGTGAGAGCCTTTATATGAAGACGCTGTACACAATCTGTATATAATCCACTAAGTAGTCATTACATATAGAAATTTCCTAAGTAGCAAATGTTTCTAGGCATCTAGATTTTTCTACAATAGATTTCTTAATAACTTTGATCTTTCTAACCAAAATGTACAGTTACATATACTACATTAATAATTTTGTTAGCAGTATTTGTTTCATCACCTCTTGTTTATGTATACAGGCTCATTTGAAGTTTATATAGTTCAAAACTCATATATACCTCAACAAGTTGAGCTTTATTAAGTCCTGGTCTGGTTGGTAGCTTGAAGTGTCTTTTGTATCGCCTAAGTGTATTTACTTGTAATTGGTATAAGTCAACCTAGAAAAAAGTAACATACATTAATTAGTTCAGAAATTTTTTTGAAAATTTATCATTGATATGCATAATAACAATAAAAATTCAATTTGATTGTTACAGAGCTATAAAAACTGTCAATTCAGATGTAAACATTCAAATTGTGTACATGGAGAGTGTTAACTGGCTATATTAAACTTTGCTTTAAACATTAAAAAATTGTTTATCTCTTTCTAGAAAAGCTTTGGAATAGAATACTTATGGTTTATATTTAACATACGAAAGTTTTCTTCTACCTCTGGAGTATCAATGTCTTGAACAGGTGAATCACCTCCATCATCATCACTCCCTTTTCTCTTTCTTCTGTTTCGGACACTCTGAATTAAGTTTTTATGATAATCACAAATGTAAAGATGCCTTGCCTGAAATAGAAAAGTTTCACAGACTGCTTATGATTAGAGTAAAAATGCATCTATATTTTAGTAAAATGCATAGGCCACAATGAATTATTACAAATAAAAAAGTCAAAAACAAGCCATTGTTAATACAATGGCATGTTTCTTTCTACTCTTTTCAATTTTTTTAAAATTTTTTAGTTGTAGTTGGACACAATAGCTTTATTTTATTTATTTACTTTTATGTGGTGCTGAGGATCGAACCCAGGACCTCCCACGTGCTAGGTGAATGCTCTGCCACTGAGCCACAACCCCAGCACTCTTCCTACTCTTAAATTCTTTATCTTGTTAAAACACAAGATGCCTGGCAATACTGTTAAGAGGAAAGGGTATTGGTTGGACAGGTGGGGTGCCAGTTGGAGGCAGGGGGTGGTACCAATTGAGGAAGGTAGGGAGGCAGAGATAGAGAATAATAAATTCCTATCCTCTGGGTTTTGAGGAGAAACAGTGAGAATGACCTGAATTAGTTCATGCTAGATTCTTCCTCACAATAGGAAAGATGATATTGCTCACAATTTGGCTACAGTATTTTCTGTAGTTAAAGAAAAGCATATTTTAGTAATGTATGATTTACAATCTATATTTAAACTTCAGTTTCTAATTTTTCTTTCTATTAAATGTATATATTTATCTGAATACATTTTTCCGATTAAAGCAATTATTTTAAATTCAGGTTCATTTGAAATGTTTCTCATGAACACCACTGAAGAACTGTTACAATAGATAGAAGGTGTGACACACTTTTCTAAAACTTTACACTCTGGAGAGTTGTATAGTGACAATGAAATATTGGGTTCCAACTACTGAAAGTTAACTCCTTTAAAAAAAATACAGTTAAGGGCTGATTTAACAGGCATTTATATTTACTTCTAAGCTAAGTTCAAGTTAAAAACATACAGGACATGTGCTATGTTCTGTATCTTGTTATTTATTTACACAAGTCAGAGCTCTGAAAGGTAGCAATGGTTCTTTCTAAAAAAAGAAATTTAAAAAAATTCATAGATGGTCAAAAGAACTGACGTGCAAAAGGACGAAAAAAGAAATCCCGATGGCTGCCAAACCGACTGCAAAACCGCAGAGGCTTACGTGCTCTCCACGTTGGGCGCAGCTGCCCTAAGAGCTGACATCGCAAACATCGTTTACAAGCTGGCTCCTCTCTCACTCTGCGTTCGGAAAAGACCCAACATCGAAAAGAACAGATCTTCCTCGACTGCGGTGTAGGGTCCTGCAGGACTCCACTTTCCTCAGACGAGGGGAGCTACAACTCCCTGGGGCCAATCGCCAGCTCGGGCAGCAAAACAAAGGCGCCTCCATTCCAGAAGACTGCCGGGCTACAGGAAAACTACTCTGGGCCCTCGGTGCGGCGGTCCCCTTTGTTTCGTTTCCAGATCACAGCAAAAGGAGGAAGAGGGAAGGCTGTGCGCGGGAGAGGCGGGCAGCGGGAGTCGGGGTGGGGGACTAGCAGGACAGGAACCACTGCATGCGTGTGCATACGTTGTGGTTGGCGGTCCGAGTTGCAGCGACTTTGTTGTTTACTCCCTAACGGAGAACGCACGAGTCCGCACTGCAGCCAGTCTGCAGGAGCTGTGAACCCCGCCAACAACCCACGTCTCTGCACAGCTGCCGGGACTCCGCGGGGCGGGCCGAGGTCACTTACACTCTTATCCAGCTCGATCTTCACCTTCTTCTGGGAGATGCTCTTCTGAATCCTCTTGCTGAAGCTGGCATTGCCAGCCGCTCGGCCGCACCGCTCACCGTCCTCCCGTAAACAGCATAGCTGCCCGGGGCCCGGCCCGGCCGCCCCCGGGGGCCCAGCCGCTGAGACCGCCCCGGCGCCGGGTACCTCAGCCCCGGCGCCTGCAGCGTTCCCGTTCCCGGCGGAGGCGGCGGCCGCTGCAGCCGCAACCACCGCAGCCACGGCGGCAGCCGCGTCCCCGCCGCGGCTCATCTCCTCAGGCGTGAAGCCGTTCATGTCTAGGTGCTCAAGGGCGCTGGCGCTGACAGAAATCCCCGCTCCGCCTCTCCCGGCCAGGTCCCTCAGGCGCCCTACCCGGCGGCGGCAATGCACTCTGCACCCCAAGTTCGGCGGTCGTCGGCCAAACACCAAGTATCCCCGGCCTGCTTGTCTCCGTCGGCGATGAACAGTGGACAGCGCTTGTGGCTGGGACCGAGAGTCGTGTGGCGCCTGGAGAGGGAACCCCGCTCACTGTCACATGGAGACTTCAGCAGTTGGACCGCGGCGCCCCCGCCTCCCTCCAGCCCCTGAACTTGCGCAAGCACGACGCATCTCCTCCCACCCCGCCTCCTCCACTCTGCCGCGAGGCCCCACGGGAACGGTAGTCCTCCGTGGGGAGAGTCCACCTGACCTGTGTTCTGAACCCGGCGCCTGGCTGCTTGGAGAAACTACTCATCCCGGCATGCAGCGTGCGGCGACTGGCCGGCCTTTTTTTGTTTTTAAGCACCCGGCAAAGGGGAGTGCGGTGTTAGGGTGTCTTGCCTCCTGTTTCTCCCGGGAAGGTGGGATGTGTTCAGCTATTGTTCTTTTGCAGAGTTGGTGTTCAGTCAGTCGGCCGATTCCTGAGAAGCACAAATTGTGTGTGTATGTGTGTGTGTGTGTGTGTGTGTGTGAGAGAGAGAGACAAGTGAGCGTGTGGAAAAGTTTCGGGGTGTTTCGTACAACCACGCTTTTGTGGAAACCTGAGTCAGGAACTCGGGGGACCAGGCGCTCTGCCTCAACTTGACCAAACACTGAAGCACCAAATAAATACAGCGCGGCGGGGAGTGTGTGGGGGGAAACGCCCTCCCGTCTTGTCGACCATGCCAGGTCCTCACAAACATCTACTGACGAGTTCGCAATTGCAGGGCTATTTTTCGTCTCCACTTCCGACCTTTTCAATCTCTCCTCAAAAGGATCTGGAGAAGGACGCAGTTAACATCGCTTAAAGGGGAACGTAGACTCCCCCCCCCCCCCAACCAATACCAAGTCAGCCCGACAGCTCCTCGGAAACTTCCCAGCGTCAGTTCCACCGAGCGTAACGGGAGAGAAATCCGATTTCCTGAGTCGTCCACACGCCCGTACGTGCGTGCGTGCGGGTGTATGCCTGCGTGCAAGTGTGCTTGTGCTTGTGGAGGGAGGGGCAGGATGGGAGTGGCTAATATGAAAGCCTGCACCTTTGCTAGTTATTGTGCGTCATTATCAGCAGATACTGTTAACCAGTATCACTGTTTAAACAAAAATACGTACATTTCAGGCAGTAGATTTTTGAGTTTTTTTTAATACTTAAATTTATTGAAAATGCTATCTACACTGAAAGCCAAAGCTTTCCATTTCGTATGTGCATTTCAGTTCAATGATAAAAATGCATTTAAAAAAATCTTGCTTGTACTTTACTGAGCTTCTTAAATTATAATTAATATTTTAAATCAATTTTCAGAAATTCTAGGCCATTATGTTTTCACATATCATTTCTGCCTTTATCTAAACTGTTCCATTTCTGGGGCTCCAATTCAATACACATCAGGTCTCCCCCTGTATCCTTGTATCTTCTGCCCTATCTTCAGTAATTTTAATTTTTAAATGTGTATCTCCTCTTATTTTGGATTCTTCTAACCTGCACGCATTCTTTCTTTAGATATGCTTTTATAATTCTTACGTTGTTCTTTTTCAAACCTTAAGTCACCTTTTATAGTTCCCAGTTCTCTGGTAAAATTTTTGATTTTCTTCCACGAACATAGCAAAATAGTGGTTTTTAAAATTATGTTTATTCTTTCTTTTGTCTGTCATTTCTGCTGGTCTGACTCATGCTTGACTCTTTTTGCATCCTTTATCTTTGATTTTTGGTATGCACTTTATCTGAGAAATTATAGAAATAATTTGAAGAATTGGGTGCTACGTTCCTATAGAGAGAGGCTTCATTTCCTTTTTTAAAGTGCTAACGGGTACCAATAGTTCTTGTGGATTTTTCAGCCAACCATTTTGGGCTGTGCTTCTTGGAGTCTTACCCCAGAGTGATAACTAGGGTTATCACCCTTCATGTATATTGGATTCCAACCCTAGATCCAAGTGACTTGACAGATGTTGCTTGATTCAACTAGTACTACATACATTTTAAAAGATAAGCATTCTGAAGCTATCCATTATCTGACATTTTGTATAGGATATGATTTCTACCATGATTTAATTATCATCAAAGTGTGAAGTGTACAGAAAAGTAGATGTAGTTCCCAGGTAATGCTGGAGCTTGCACTGGGTGCAAAATTACTTCTGGCTATCTATTGAGATAGAATGTTATTATCTTCAAAAAGAGATTGAACATAGCTCCCCAGGATCAGAGGTGTGGGCCATCATGCCCAGCTAGAGTATTTTTTTTTTAAGGAAGAAGAGAATGGTTATTGGATAGATAATTAAGAGTTTTCTACAATGATGTAGATTTTAAGAATGTTTGACAAACGAATAGACAGGTCCATGTTACTTTAAATTGCTCAAAGATATGAAAAATTATTTTAGAAATTAGGAAATGAGTTATTATTTTTAACTACAGGCTAAAATATTTTACCTGTTAACCTACAAAATATGTTCAGGTATTAAAAATTCATCCAGTAAATATTTAAATATTTGTGACTTTGACACATGCATAGCACTGCACTAGACCCTATGAAATATATAATGATGATATACATTCCTGCCTTTCAAGAAACTTCTGAACAATAATTTTTGATATTATACTTTCTGCTTTATAAAGCTCCTTCACAGGTATTATTTCTCTTGAAATTCTTAACAACTTTGTTCATTAGGTACAGGAAATATTTACCCAATGGAAAAACTCAAGAGTGGCAGACAGACTGATCTCTGCCCCTGCCTCTCTGACCTTTATTATTTCAATGTTCATTTCTTTGCTTGAGGGCTTTCTCCTAAATTGTGGAAGGCAGCTGTGTCCATGTGGTCAACGCAAGTTGAAAATGCCTTAGAATTAACTTCCCACCCTAGCAGCTTTCACCCACTAAAGAATTTGTTCTAACACACACCCATACACATCCTAGCTAAGTCTGAGTTTTACACTATTTCCCAGAGTTTTCCCCTGAGATTATGCTCCAGGCTTTAGCAATTGTAGCTGCTTGATACCTCACCCTTCAATGACTGCATTCCCTTCTTTTTCTTTCTTCTTCACCTTCCACTGATGTTTCCTGCATCCCTTAGATAAACTATCTGCACTAAAATCCTTGTCTCAGATTTCTAGTGGTCCTTTCCACTTGGTTATTTCCCCCACTACTTGCCCCTTAGCTAAAGTGCTAGTTCAACAGGTGGTCACATGATTCAAAGCAGGCTACCTAGAATCCTTCCCAGGGAATTTTGTTCAATCTAGAATAAGAAAAAAGGAGCACTTTAACTTTTGTTTCTTTTTGTTTGTGCATCATCCTATATCCATTGTAACAATGTCTGGCACAAAGTAGACACTTAACATTTGTAGAATGAACTCAATCCTTAGAATTTCTTTGTTGCCAACCTGCCTTAGTCAACAGCTATAAATTTAAAAATGTATGAAATCCTGTTGTTATAGCATGTCATAGTGTCATAACATACTATTGTAGTTAAGAGCATGGACTCAGGAGCCAACTGCTTGAAATTTAAACTCTGTCACTTGACAGTTATTTGTGTTAGTTGTTTCTCAGTTCCATTTTCATTCTTTTACTCTCTCTTGTGTACCACAGGGTACTGGCATCCTAAAAAGCATTTGCCAGACTCACTTGCCTACTGATTTCAGTTCTGCTAATGGAAGATTAAAAGGCAAGAGGAAGACAGAAAACATTTTTTCCCTTCTGACTTCAGCAGCCTTAGGAGTGTTGTTCTCTTCTATCCTGGATCCAGGAATGGTAGGGGCAATGTAAAGGCTGGTTGCTGACTTCCTGAAATACACCTAGCAGAGATAGTTCCAATAGCCTCAGAAGCATCACAGTTGTGGGTTTTTTATAACACTATTTGCCTTTTGTCCTTTTAATGATAGGACGGTAGCTTTTCTTGTTCCATATTAGTATCAACACAAATATCGATAATTAAAGTTACCTCTGGATTAAAGCACCTTCCCTTTTTGCTCCTCCAACCCTAATACTTTTGTAATGATTCTCTCAGTAATATTTCTCTCTGAAATATCTGAAGTGATTTTTGTTTTCCTGGTTGAACACTAACACTGTGAGCTTAGGCAATTACTTGCTCTTTGCTTCAGTTACTTCTATACCACAAAGATAATAGTATACATATCTCATTGGTGTTATTTTGAAGATTGACAATTTTACAATACTTAAAATCATATAAAACACAGTTAAATAAATGGCATTATATATATTTAAATGGCCTGAGCCACAAAGTTCATAAAATCTAGTCTCTCTCCATATATTTGTTATTTTGTGCAGTTTACCACTCTTGACCTTACTGCTTATCACTGTTACTTTTTTTTTTAACCTGTGTCCTTTTATGCCTATCTTCTCTGTTGCTTCTCTTTCATGTCATAAATTGTCATGCATGCTTTTCAGTGTATTTTTCTTATTTGCTGACATAATAGGAACATCTTGGAGACCCATAGGTTTAAGTGTTTGGAAAGGCTGTAATGGTGAGAAGATACTTAGGGTAGGCAGCAGCAATGGCAGTGGAAAACAATAGCTTACATTAGACCCTGAAGATGAATCCAGAATTTTTAGCTTGGGATGTTGAGGGCCTCGTGTAGGAGAAAGACTTGAGAAATAGATTCTTTTGCTTAAATCTTGTCCTCATTAAGATTATTTAAAATTTGGATGGAATTTTTTCACTGGCTTCTATTTTTGAATTTTGAGAATAGATTTGGTTTTGGTCTCATACTCAGCAGTCTCAGGTTCTAGGATTATAATTACTCCATTTTTAAGATCTTTGGGACCCCAAACCCCCAAACAAATAAATATGGGAATAAGATAGGCCTAAATATTACTGAATAGACAGAATTCTTCTGTGTCTGTACAAGAGCTGGATCGCTATCTAGAGAATTGCTTATACAAATTCCTAGAATGATTGTTAATGTTTTCAATGAAGATCACTTCTTTAATTTTTACTCTTTTAAAATTTCAGTTAATCCTACTAGATACAGAATAAACTTAAAAAAAATTTTTGTTGTTGTAGATGGACACAGTATCTTTATTTATTTTTATGTGGTGCTAAGGATCAAACCTAGTGCTTCACACATGCCAGGCAAGCACTCTATCACTGAGCTACAATCCCAGCCCAAGCTCTTCTTTTTATTTATCCATTAATCCAAATTTAAGGTATGCATAAATACATTTTAGCTTAATTAAAATTCTAGGATTATTTGAAAAGTACATCTGAAAATTTCACATTGTTTGTAAATGTATTTCTAAATACAGTCAAACTACTAAGCACAGGAACAAAATTAGAAGACAAAGTAAATATATTACCTTTATATTTATGTGTATTTACATTAGAATTTGCAATTTTAAGTCATTACCAAACTTAAGAAAAAAAAACTATCATTGGTTTAACCTAAGATCAACATAGTACTAATATTGTAAGAAGCATCTGCATAGACATGCTGGGACTCATTAAATTGCTGGCCATAAGGAACAGCAGCCATTGAACTGCTTAGTCATGTCTGCTTGCCACTGATAAAGAGCTGTAAGGGGCGCTAGCCATAGGCATGCTTATCAATGAATGGTTACAATTGATAGGGAGCATAGATCCATGGACATGCTCAAAGAACATGCCCAATTGCAATTACATCACCTCACAGGACATAACCAATGGACATTGATTTTCACTGGGTGTAACCAATAACCAACATACACCACCAACTTGGAACTGTATTTAAATTGCTATCCTGCCACAATGAAGAGGTTTGCTCCAAGGCCATCAGTCAGACTGGCCGCCTTGCTGTCCATCTGTAGACTGACTCTACCATTCCCTGATGTCCAGCCATCGGCTGGAGAGAACCACCGACAAGGACAACATCTGCTCTTTTACTAAGAGAAGTCATGTGGCATGGGAGGTATTTTGGGGCTCGT